ATTATTATTATTATATATTTTAATTTTATTCTATTATTTTGAGGGGGTACATTATTAATTAATTAATTATAATCGATATTATAATTTTTTCATAATAATAACTTTATAAATATAAAACGCTTCAATTCATTATATCGATAGCATACACCATTTTTATTTTTTGAGGGGGGGAGGGGAGTTTACTTTTACACCTTAAATTTTATGTTATAAAAAAAAAAAAAAAAAAAAAAAAAAAACAAAAAAAGACGCCATATTTAATTAATAAATATAAAAATTTTGTAATAGAATTTTTTACTCTACGATATTAAATTTAATATCCCTTTGTTTTTTTTGCTGGGGGGAGGGAGAGAGAGAGAGGGAGGGAAGGGGAGGAGGTAGAATTTTAATAAAAATTTATTTTTTTTATCCTATAATGTTTATTTATAATAGACTAAAGTAAACCTATAAATGTAACAATAACAATTGTCTTATGTAATTTACAATTGTAACGGTGGGAGGAGAGGGGGGAAACTTTTTTTTTTTTGTAGTAGAAATAAAGATTTCGATTACAAGATTTTTTGAAAATTCCGGGGTTATGCCATAATTTGAATCCTGATTACAATTTTTTTCAATCATTTTATTTATTTAATAATATTATAAAATCAATTCACTTTTTTTTTCCTTTTTGTTAGAATAATACAAAATCAAAGACACGTCTTATAAAAAAAAAAACTAGATCATTCGTTCTAGAATTTTCTCATTTCCGACAATTTTTACATATAAAAAAATTTCTCTACGATCAATAATAATAATAATAATAATGGTGATGTTCATATATAGAAAGTTATTATTATTAAAAAAAAAAAAAAATTTTCGAAATGCATATATGTATGTATTTATTAATAAATATCTTTTGCTACGAAAAAATAATAATAATAATTATTATTATGTATGTGTAATTTTGTACTGGGTTTAATTTACTCATCAGTCTCTCTCTACATTTTCTAGTGGTGGTGGTGGTGGTAGTAATTAATAAGTATTTTTACCCCAAAGGAAAAATTTTTTTATAAATTTTGTTGTATAAGACAAAGCGGAAATTAAATAAATAATAATAATAAATAAATAAATAATTTGATTATTAAAGATTTTCCTTTTTTCTCAACACACACGTGCGTTTATTTGCTTGTGTGAATGTGTGTGTAAACAATCATATCAATAATAATAATAATAAAAGAAAATTTTCATGGTAAAATTTGATTTGCTTAATAATAATTTGTTTTTTTTTTTTTTTTTTTTTTTTTTTTTTTTTTTACAATGGGGGCAACAAAAGTCTTTAAGAGGGACTAATTCCGGAACCTTAAATAAGGGAATTATTTAAATTTCCTTTCCCAAAAGTTATTAAAAAAAAAAAAATTGGTGTTAGCTTTTGTTAAGGGGGGGGCAGCAAATTTAACAAATATTTGGGTTAATTGTATTGGTCAATTTTTTTTTTTTTTTTTTAACAAATAACAGCTACTCGTGATTTTCATTTTTTTTTTTTTTTTTTAAAAATTTACTCGGTTTGTTGGCCAAAATAAAAATAAATAAAAAAATTTTGCATAAAATATTTTTTTTAGCCCCTCATCATTTACGTTCATCAATTTAAAAAAAAAAAAAAAAAAAAAAAAGTTATTTATTTTTTAACAAACTATTAAGAAATTCTAGACAGTTAAATTTAACACGCGGAAATTTATTAATTAAAAATTATTAATGAAATATAATTTTTTAAATAAGTCAAAACCTTTCAAAAGAAAACTTTAATTATTTATTAAAAAATAAAAAAACAATCAATTTACAAATAAAATAATATATATATATAATTTTTTGGCTGGGCTTATCAGTATATTTTCCAATTCCTGATTATATTATTACATTTTTTCCTCCTTTTCCTCCCTTTTTTTTTATTTACGGTCCTTTTTAATTTTTTTTTTTTTTCACAAATAAAGAAATGTTTTAAATTTTTATTGTGGTTTTTTTTTTTTTATATGAGAATTTGGTCATTCACGACTGACTTAGGGGCTTTTTTTGATTTTTTTGAGGTGAAACGCTTGCTTCACGATTTTTTTTTTTTTTTTTTTTGCGAACGCGCGAGCCTGTAGTTTAGAAAAAAAAATCGTGCTATCTACTGCTCTGAATCTTTGTTTGCATTTATGGTTTAATCCTTGAAAAAAAAAAAAAAAAATGGAAAAAAAAAACACAAACTTTCGACTTTTGTAACTCTAATTAGTGTTTGTGTGTGTGTGTGATTCACTTAAAAACCAATCTTTAAGTAATAATAAAGTAGGCGGTGCCTGAAATTGTTCGACAAATGCCACCTCAGACTGGACAATGAAATAAAAATCGTCGCCATATTGCAAAATTTCAATTTTTTTTTTAAATAAAATATATTCTTCGTGGTGACTCCCTAACGTTTTCGAAAAAGGAGAAAGGATGGTCAATCACTTTACTAACAAAAGCCAAGGTTGAAATCGTATAAAATTGTCCAAAATCTATTATTATTATTATTATTATTTTCCTTGATACGAAACCGTTAAAAATTTTTTTACTTCCAGGAAAAAAAAAGGCGCTAAAGTTCAAATATAATAATAATAATTATTATTTAAATTAAAAAAAAAAACAAATTACTTATTAACAATAATAATAATAATAAATTCATTTGTTTGTTTTATTTTTTCCCCCTTTCCATTATTATTATTATTATTATTATTAGTATCTATTTAATTTAATTTCATTAAGTTTTCGTAATCATTAAAATTAATTCTTTTTTTTTACCATTGTAATTTATATAAAATATGTAAATATTATTATTATTATTATTGTTTTTTATCATTTTAATAAATGAGGGCATACATACATAAATTTTTTTTAATTAAAAAAATATATAAATGTACTTTCTTTTATTTAAATGCACTCACTCATAATTTAAAATCAAATTTGAACTTTAAAAAAAAAAAAAAAAAATTAAAAGGAAATTTATTAAAAATTAATTTAATAATAAAAAAAAAAACTTTTTTTTACGTGAAATGCCATTGCTAAAAACGTCATGGTATATAATATACACGTAATTTAAATTTTATATTAAATTTTAATTGACGCCATTTTTTTTTTTCATTAAAATTTTTCGTTACATTTTTAAAAAGGAAAAAAATTTTCAAATTATTTTTTATATATATAAAAATATGAATCATACCGTGAGAAAATTGTAATTGTATCTAGTAGTCTCAGCGAAAGGGGGGTCCCTCAACTGTAGAAAACCTTGATCTTCACAACTAGAATCTAGTTTTTAATTTTTTAAAATAAAAAAAATGTATAAATGGCCTTAAACCTGACGAAATATGATTTCCCCTTTCCTTCTCAATAAATAATAACTTATAGAAAACAATTGAAAAAATTATTGCCAACTTTTGAAAAAACAAAAACAAAACGCTCAATGTTACTACGTTAGTCAATTAAGCATCATTTTTTTTTTTATATCGACTTTTGTTAATGAAAACTTTGTGATAAATAAATAAATCTATTATTATTTATAATTATTATTATTATTTTTCATTACTATTTACACCAGTAGGTAATTTTTTAAATTTTTTATTATTATTTTGAAAGGTAAAATGCAAAAAAAAAAAAAATTATTTTCCCAAAAGAAATAAAAGAAGGAAATAACGTATAAGTTTTAAGGGTAGAAGTAGGCGAATTGCGTAAGCCTTACCAGGTATGGGAAAATTTATTTAATACAAGGACATGACGAGCGAGAATTATTGTTTTTTTTTTTTTTTTTTTTTTTAAAACTAGGAGTACTTATATTTCTCAATGTTAAAAAATTTTATTTTAAATTATGTTGTATAATTTAACAAGTTAAAAATTATTATTTACGTCGGTCAAATAAATCTTAAATGTACTTTACAAAGTGATGACGCGAGTAAGTTTAAAATATTAAATTTTCCTTTTTTTTGTATTTTAAATAAATAAATAAAAAGTAAGTAAAAGAAAAT